CGAACTGTCAATTGCACAATTAATTCCCCAACAGAGTAAATATTCTCATATTAGACGAAGCCTGATTTGGCTTTAACGTCACTTAGACGGGAAAACCCGTATGTTAGTTTAAAACGCTAAAGACGTCGGGATTTTTTTTCTGTCACAAAATCCCCAAATTGAAAACCCTAGAACGATTGCCCAGAAACTGAAGCGAAATTGAGCGAAATTCTGCAATTTCCATGGTGAAAACTTTCCATGGGAAAAGAGATGGGAGGAGGAATAAACTCCCGATTCGAAGAGAGCAACAACTCCCGCACCAGCATGAGCCTCCAATCGAGCATGGGCTTCCAATCGAGCCTGAGCCTCCAATCAATCATGAGCCTCCAATCAACGACGAAGCACCAGACATCGAAGTTGAACCAGAAATAGAGCATGGAGCACCACTCGAGCTTGCAACTGAAATCGATCTTGAAAGATAAGTTTGAGTTAGTTTGAATGATCAGTTATGATGACTTAGGATGAATGATGAGTTAGAATCGTTGTTAGGTTGAATGAGGAATGATAAGTTAGAATGATGATGAGTTAGGATGCTTGTTAGGTTGAATGCTCTATTTGATTGGTTTTATGCTTCTTAGGATGAATGAGGAGTTACACAACGAAACTGTTGAGGAAGAAGATCGAGCAGAATCAAAGGATGATGATCCCATCGACGAAGATGATTGTGATTGCCCTGCTATTAACGAAGATGCAGCTGGATATAAGGAGAATGAGCCAGAGTTAGCTGACATTCCAGAGGAGGATAATGATGACCCATTGGTGAATATTGAAATCTGTGATGATGAAGATTTTTTTCGAGATTTGGAGATGATGGTCCTCAAGAAGGAGGTGAAGCTGCTGATGATAATGGGGATGATATGTGGAATGATGATCTCATCCCTGATCCATTAACAGATGATGAAGATGATGCGATCTTAGGAGTAGAGGGTAGGCCAATCCCTTCTCGGCCACATGAGATCTTAGCACTTGGAAAGTGCTTCAACAATGCTGATGAATTCAAGTATGCACTTCTCACATATTCTCTGAAAACGGAGTATGATATCAAGATGTATAAATCTTCTAGTGATCGGCTTGGTGCGAAATGCACAAAACACGCAGAGGAGAAGTGTCCCTGGAGAGTGTATTGTTCTTTTGAAAAGAGCAAAAACAAATTGATGGTCAAGTTCTATGAGAATCGGCATATATGTACAAGGAGTTCTTACACCAAGATTTTGAAAAGTAGAGCTATTGGACAACTCTTTGAAGAAAGGCTGAGAGTTAATCCGAAAATCAAGCCAGAAGATATGGTTGCTGAAATAAAGAGAGAGTTCAATATGATTGTCACTGAAGGTCAGTGTAAGAGAGCAAGATTTGATCTTCTAGCAAAGAGAAAGGCTACTCATGAATCGCATTTTGCTAGACTTTAGGATTATCAGGAAGAGGTAAGATCAACTAATCCAGGCACAACAATGGAGGTTGAAACGATTCCCGGGCCACTTCCTGGACACAAGCAAAGGTTCTTTCGTCTCTATGTCTGTTTTGGAGCATTGAAAGAAGCGTGGAAGCAGTCATGTAGGCCTATAATAGGATTAGATGCCTCGTTTATGAAATGGGATATTAAAGGCCAAATGTTAGCTGCAGTTGGTAGAGATGGTGATAATAGGATATTTCCTATTGCCTGGGCTGTAGTGGAAACGGAGGATCCCTAATTGGCTGTGGTTTGTGCAACTTCTAAAAAAAGATTTAGATCTTAAAGATGGAGATGACTATACAATTTTCTCTGACAAACATGCCGTAAGTGTCACAACTGAATTTGTTTTAGTCATATCCTATCTATGTATGATATTTTGTATTTAACATATTCTCATTTGGTTTGATTCGTAGGGTTTGTTGAACGCTGTTCATGAAGAGCTTCCCAAAGCTGAACATAGGCAGTGTTCTCGACACATTTTGGGAAATTGGAAGAAGACAAACAAGGACATAGAGCTTGAGCGTATGTTCTGGAGAATAGCAAGGAGCTATACACCAGAGGCATTTGAGGATAACTTAGAGATAATGAAGAAATACAACTCAGGTGCTTATGATTCACTTCTCCGCACTGCACCAAAAACGTGGTCTCGAGCCTTCTTCAAAGTTGGATCTTGTTGCAACGACAATCTCAATAACTTGTCAGAGTCTTTCAATCGCAATGTTAGAGAGGCAAGGAGAAAGCCAATACTTGATTTCTTAACTGAGGTCAAAAGGACAGTCATGGAGAGGAATGCAAATAGAATTTTTTTAACCAGGAGGTGGAAGAAAAGGTTCACACCAAGAGCAGACAAAGAGATTGAAATCAATCGGCAAAAAGCTAAAGACTGCAAGAGATATAGGACAACTGGAAATGTGCATGAGGTCGACTTCCGTGGAGATCCTTGGAGCGTTGACATGGATAAGAAGACATGTGGCTGCGGTTATTGGCAATTGAATGGCATACCTTGTATGCATGCAATGTGTGTCATCACAAACTTGAAGTTAGATCTCAATGACTATGTCTCCGACTACTACTTGACTTCAAAGTGGCAAGCATTGTATGATGAAGGTATGAAACCAGTTCAAGGCATAAAAGCATGGAAGCGGTTAGGGAGATTGCCTATTTTACCACCACCAAATAGAGGTAACAAAGGAAGATCACATGGCCGAGCAAGATTTAAAGGTTCTCAAGAATCATCTTCTAATCCAAACAGAGTAACACGCCATGGACGTATTCCGCAATGTTCAAACTGCAGAAAAGAAGAACATAACAAGGCAAGATGTTCTAATCCCACAGAACCTCCTCCACCCAAACGGCCAAGAGGTCGTCCAAAAAAACAGGTTTGAATCTCACAATATCTCTAGCTTGTTACATTGTTTGAATACTATATCCTTGACCAAATGGTTTGCATTTTCAATATTGTATTTTATAGGGACAAGAACCACAAGGAGTACTCTCTCAAGCATCACAAGGAGCTTCTCAAGCATCACAAGGAGCTTCTCAAGAATCACAAGGAGGATTTTCTCAAGCATCACAAGGAGCTTCTCAAGCATCGCAAGGAAGATTTGGTTTCTCTACCTAGTGAAAGACTTTTCTGTTTTTTTTTGGCGTTTTTTGGCTAAGTTTTAGCTTGTAGGATGTTTTAACTACATTTAGCCTCGGCATTTTGGCATCTTGAACCTTTTGTAGACTGAATGGTTACTCATTTGTCATTGATCATGTTTTATTTTGGCATTTTAAAGCTTAATGGCAAGATTTTTAACTATCAATTTTGACTTTTTTCTTCTTTATAAGAGTAAAAGAGAATAGAAGACCAAATCTAAGGCATAATCTTGTCTTATAAATTAAAACACAAATCCAATATAACATTACAAAGCCACAATATTGTCTTACACAAACTTTTAAAAAGTACACTTATTACCAAATACAATCATATACTACCAATAGAAAATGTGTTTCCATTAGCTTTGTGGAACATGATGTGGTAAATGAGGACAAAAGCTAACACACCCAAACAAAGACCAAGCACCACCAAGTTCTGGATTTTGAGTTTGCGGATCTCGGCTCTGCATTGTGAAACCTCTTCTTTCACGTTTAGTAACTCAAGCATCAAGTCATTCATTTCAATCATCCTCCCATGATCACTCTCGGATTCTCTCCTTCCACACTTTTGCATCAAGTCTAGAACTTCATCATACATTAAATCTTCAACCCACTCAAACAAATGCCCTTTCTACAATCCAAATCATAATGAATTGTTAAAATCTATAGAGACATTACATTCACAATGAAAGCTTAATGATGATCAACGAAAATTACTTGTATCTTTCGGGAAGCAGAACAAAGAAAGTAAGGATGTCCAGGATTATCTATTGACTGTGATGTGTACTTAACAACAGGAGCTCCACAAACACATTTTCGGAAATCCCCTTTTCTCTTTGAACAACACATTGTTTGAGGAATTTCCAAATTCCATGTTACAATTGGGACGGATCTCCTGCTCCTACACTCACAATTGGGCCGATTTCATACACTAACTACTTAAATGCATAATCTACTTGGTTCGATTCAGGGCAAGGAGAAGGAGAAAGAGTGACTTACAGATTTCGAATTCGTAGAGGAGACTCGACATGTTTCTGGGCAAGTAAGTCGATTCAGGTTCTTTGTGATGTTCTTCATGTTGTTGGTGTCTCGATTTTTGGAGATCACCTGCAGAATTTCACTTCAGTTTGTCGCCAAATGTTCTAGGGTTTTCAATTTGGGGATTTTATGTCGGAACAAAAAATCGCGACGTCTATCGCGTTTAAAAGTAACAGACAGGTTTCCCCGTCTAAGTGACGTTAACACCAAATTAGGCTTCGTCTAATTCGAGACAATTTTCACTCGGATGGGGAATTAATCGTGCAATTGACAGTTCGGGAATAAAACGTTATAATCGAAAAAGTTGAGGATTTATTTGGGCGTTTTCCCACCTTTACAGCATGTCAACACCCATATACACTTATCTATATGTTGATGTGTTGTTATGCAGCTTATAGTTATTTTATATTATCTAATGTAAAGTTTAATGTAAAGTTTATTTATCTATTTGTTTCAAATTTCAATCAACTAAAATCAAACTTGTATATATAGATTACAAATTTAAAAAGAAGAAGAAAAAAATGCGCATTTTTAATACCATCATATGGCTGTACAAATTTGGTTTATGTAACAAAGAATGTAATTTGCTATGAAAAAGAATTTTACTTTGGAGTTACAATGGTAATTTGAACATATCAGGGGTATATTCGTCATTTAGTCTTCATTTTTTTTAGGTCTTATCTCTCTCTGCTCTATATGCATAAACCCTTTGTTCGCAGAATCAATCGATTGATCGGCATTTCGGTAGGGTTTTAGCACTCAAAGTTAAAACCTTTTTTTGATTTTTCGTAATCCGAAGAAGATCAATTCGCCGATCGGTCAATTGAATTCTATGGCGATGGCTATGAGACTTCCGGCGATAGCGAGAGCAGCGACGGAAATGGCTGCGGCTCCGGGAGGATTGAGACGGCTGTTCTGTTCGAACGCTACAAAGTTCTCGTTTCTTTCTCCACAGTCTAATACCGAAACTCCGGCTCGTCCTCAGGCCGACCCCAGCACCAATCTCTTCGTCTCCGGTAATAAGCAACTTCTCATCTCTTGTTTCATTTCTGGGTTTTTGGGGTTTATCGTCGCTCGAGGCTATGTGTGTTGCTTTTTAAAGGTCATTCCTTTTGATTGAGAATTAGACTATTGAGGTCGTATAAACATCAACGAATATGGATATCTTTTGTAGTAAGAATTTGATCAAGTCTTTGCAGCGAGAGATCGATTTGTGTGATTTCTTCTCAATTATATTCCTTTTTGCTCCTCATTTCCGATTGCTATCGGTCATGAATCAATTGAAAGAGTGAAAAGAGAGCTTCTTTGCAGCTCCTGTTTTGATCATTTTTCTTATAACAGAATTCAATATTTTCGGTTAACATTTGATTAGACTACTCGTATGATTCTGTGAACCGGATATAATATTTGAAGTTTCTACCTTTTTAAAGGCTACAATTTTGGTCACTTTCTTACTTGTACCAATGAGTTTTAAGAATTGAGATGCAGCCAAAGTTTGGCCTTGAATGGAAACAGTTTTGATTACGCTGTTTCTCAATTGCATCACATGCTTGAATGGTCTTTAAAAATCTGAAAAAAGTTTAGTCTCGAGTGTATACAGCACATCTCATACTTTACATGTTAAATCTGATGACTATCTTTGTGTGAATTTAAGTCCTGTTCTGTTCTGTTACTGTGTCTCAGTTTCTTCTCTTGAAACTTTTGAAATACTAAAGCATTAATCTTTTGTGCCACCTGAATCTTTTTACAGGGCTTAGCAAACGCACCACTTCTGAAGGACTTAGGACAGCTTTTGCTCAGTTTGGAGATGTTGCTGATGGTAAACTTCCTTAATATCATGTCTCTTTTTATGCGCATCAAGGACTAGTCATTCAGAAAACTAACTGTAACGATGACCCTTTTCTCTCAAAATTGTTTCGTATAGCTAAGGTTGTCACAGACAGAGTCTCAGGATATTCAAAAGGTTTTGGGTTTGTTCGTTATGCCACCTTAGAAGATTCTGCTAAAGGCATTGCTGGAATGGATGGCAAGGTAATAATAATTAATACTCAATTGTAATTTTAAAACCCGTTTCTCTCAAATTCAAAAATGTAATCAAAATCTTGTGCTAATTCTCTTTCTCTTTTGTTTCTCTCTGCAGTTTCTTGACGGATGGGTCATATTCGCAGAGTATGCAAGACCAAGAGAGCCATCGCAGACATATCAACCTCAGAACAACATGTCTCGTCCTCCTTATGGTAACAACCGCTATTGAACAAGCAGCCTTTGTTCATCAACTGTTTGAGCATTGTGTCTTCCATGAATCTTTCTATTATTAGTATTTTGCTTTATTTCATTTCGTTACATTGTTCGAACTATTATTGTCTTGGTGTAATCTTATAAATTTATTGAGTAAACCTAAAACAAAAGAGATGCTCCATTGAAAAATGAACAATATTTTTTAACGAAAGATTAATTTTTTTTGTGAAGCAAAAGACTTTGGAACCCAATCTTGATACAACATTTTCATGAAAACCCAAATGGGTCCGTGACCTAGCCAATTACTAACTCGCAATTTGTTGAGATGATTGAATACTTTCATTGTGTAACCATTATGATGATTTTCAACAAATGGAAATAAGTCATTGGGGCCACAACAAAACAACATTGAGTTCTCAAAATTTCACGTGGAGCTGTCTGGAATCTACACGAACATTTTTGTAACATGTGGACCGAACAAAAACGAGAGAGATATCAAATACTAATGGTTATATAAGTTTATGCAATAAATGTAACAAAGACAAAAATGGAAACAAAACTAAAAGAGATACCGTTCATACTATTAACATTCTTTCGCTGTCCAATTACGTTTGGTGAGACAATTCCCTCTTTCTCATGCAACCGATTATATGTTACAACACACCATATTACACTCCAAAACCAAACGAGACCCCTTCTTTACTCTCTCTCACTCTTAGGTCTATTTCAGCTAGAATTTTTGGAGTGTACTTAGCTTTATAAATCATAATGGTGATTGTGATATGTTTTGTTCTTTGATTGTCTAATCCTTAAGATGAAAATGTTAGGTGTAATTAGAATGTCGATCGCAAGCAACGTGTAAAAATGGCATTTGTTTCCAATTTTATGGATTAGGCACAAGTCAAATTTTAACTGAACAAACTAATCAGTTGTGATTGTTTCAAATCGGATAACGTTTCTAATAAAGTGCTTGTCGATCTATGATCATCATACAATATTGTTTCAAATCGGATAACGTTTCTAATTAAGTAATTGTCAATCGATAATGATCTTACAATCCCTTTTTATGTTGTTTCTTGTTAAAAAAAAAAAGAAGAAGCTAAGATCCAATCCTAACCACATGTAATTTTGAGAAAACTCCATAAACTCACGTGTGGGTTAGGATGATATATTCAGATCAATGTTCGACGATCTTATACGATTTAATCCCAAAATGAGAAACGGCGTCGGATCATGGACGTTACTTGCATGTTGAAGGTTTGCATTCGCATTTTTGTTTTAATTGTATATATTAGAACCCAAAATAAAGAAAAAGTTAAAAATATATAATGTTTCAAACATGGAACATGGTCAATAGTCTATGATATACTCCCTGTTAATTAACTGATTTAACTCCCTATATATTCAAATGAAGTCGTCCTCTTTATAATGAGAAAGAGAGAGATACATAATATTTTAATCAGTATAAACAAACTAAGAAGAGGCGAGTCATCGTCGTTTTTGTTACCCAACATGTGTGATTCCTTTCAAACGTGACCACATTTTGTGAATGTCACGTTCTCTGTGGTTGAATTAGGGTTTAAATGGAGTTGCTTTCGTTTCATGAATTAGTTACACATAATACTAAGTTGGACCGTTTCATTTTCTATATCGTTAGGAGATATCTGATATCTGATCTATTTATTATAGTTCTTATCTGACTATAATAAGGTTTCCTCATTGCCACGTATAATAGCACATGTACATATAACATCATGCATGCATATTGTCATTTATATACAAAATTACAAACTAGACTAGATGAAAGGGCCCGAAGGAAATAAAATGATACTAAGTACATACTAACATACACTGCACACTAGCGATTTTATTTACTCATTATATCAAGATTCAAGAATATTATACTCATTATCCGATTTCATTTAAGATTAAGATTAAGTAGCCATCATGTAAACCGTATCTGCTTTCAACGAAAATAATTCGAATTGATAATTTTCTAGCTATCTCGATCCAAACCAAATCAACAGAAATTACATCAATTTTCAAAGCAATTAATCTTTCCTTTGGTTTTTAGTTGGTTTAGCTTTTCTACGAGGATACCACGTACGGTACCACCCCAAAGACTAAATCAACAGAAATTACATCAAATTCAAAACCGTTAACTTTGAACTTTGTTTTTAGCTGGTTTAATTTCTCCACGAGGCTACCACCACAAAATTCCAACCTAAATCTAAACCCATTAATTCAAAATTTAAATTACGTATATATGCAAGATATCTTCAAACTATAGAGACATCTTATAACATCATATCCGAACAATAACCATAATCAGATACAATTATCATTTTCTTTATGTGTATTTTGATTTTTGAACCAGGAAGGCAGAGCAACCTTCCATTATTCTGTAGGTAAAAAATAAAAATAAAAAATCATTTTTCTGAATAGAAGATAAATAAAAAATATGTCGGAACGATATTTATGAGTGGTCCTAATACTTTTCAATAAAAAACAAAACACAATTTTGTGTATACTAAGAAAACAAGTTCCAGTAACGGAGACAAAAGTGATTCACATCCACAATATGATTCTACTTAAAAAGGCATCACGCCAAAAAAAATTTACATGATTACAGATTTTTTATAGACTTTTATTTAAGCTGCAAAACGTGTTTATGTACCCACTTTTAATTACGTTTTCTGGTAAAACCCAACGATAATAACATGAAGCAGACTCTCTAGACTCAAAGACGACACCGTTTAGTAATAAATACTTCGTGTCCACGTAACCAAGTGAGTCATTCACGACTCGACTTCCTCCTCCTATAAATTGCATCTGTTTCCCAAAGAGAATCTCCACTCCAAATTACTCTCTCCAACATTTCTGTAAACATCTGAAAATATTAGCCTCTTTTAAGGATTTTAATAACTTACTAAAGATTCAAGTAAACAAAAACAAAAACAAAAAAAAAGAAAGAAGAGAAGACAAGAGATTCTTGTTTGTGGTGTAGTGTAGGATATGAAATTTTTGTTGGAGCTCGTCGTGCCTTGTTTTGGCTCCCACCAGCTCCACCAATCAGCCGCAACCGCGGGTGATTCGACGTCCACCGAAACGAAATCGCTAATGAAAGAGAGAAGGCGGCGGAAACGCGTTAGGGTTGCTGGTCAACCGGGTCAAGCGGCAGAGTGGAGACCGTCGCTCAGCGTGATCTCTGAGCACAAGCCGGTGATAACCGAGATATCGGAAAAGGGTGAACAGGAGAGGAAAGTCCGTCGGAAAAGTGAAGGCAGCGGTGGAGGAGACGCGTCGTCCCGATCCGGCGGTGGTCATGTTCGTTTCCGCAGTGACGATTACGGGTAAAACACTTTTCTCAAACTTAACTTTTTCATTATTTATCAAAGTATGTGAATTATATTTGAAAAGGTTTTTATCTGTTAAATAAAACGTAAGATTATAAGATAATCATGTGATAGTTAAGATGCTATTTTTGTGGATAAAGATTCGATACAGTTGGGATGTCAACATCAGTATGTTAATGTTTTATTCGAGTAGACAGGAGTCGTAAACAAGAAGATAACCAAAATAAGTTTAAATAAGAAATTCAGTTAAGAAAATGTATTATTGTTTTGACATTTTGTTGTTTAAAAATGTGTTTTGCAGGAGAAATGCTTTCGAACCAGTAATTCCGGCGTTCTCACCGACTCCATTCATGTTTTGAGTTTCAGTTTCTTTCGAAGTTTATTTGTATAATATTAAGAAATATATATCTATGGAAAAAGTTGTAGCAGTAATGTATATATTTCTTTTCTGCCATTTATATTATATATCAACTTATGCAAAGCTCTCTATAACAAAAAAGAGTTCATCTATATTTTTTTTTATCATTCATATGTATTCAGTCAAGTTCTTATGTTATATGTTGAATACAACTTATCAGCTTATCCTATGCAACACGTAGAGTAAGTAGAGTAACCAAGACGACTATCTAATGAAAATATAATGTGGAAATACTGCACAACCTATAAACAGCTCGTCATACTAAGAAAAATGCTCTAACCTAACTTCAAAAATTTCCTCCTCTATTACATTCATTTGGTTGAAATTCGGCTCGACCAACATGAGATTTTCAATCGATTTAGGAAATATCATTTCATTCTTTTGAATCACTTTCTCAAGAACACTTCCAAACACTTAGAAAACCGACGAGCAAGACCATGATTCGCCTCCAGTTCTCAGCAAAATAAGCTAACAAAACCAGCATTCTTTGAAAAACAATCCCCAAGAAATCAATAATCTGGTAAATAATAAATTTCGCCCAAACGAAAGCCGGATTTATTATGTTTAATGGTAATTAACTGATTATTTACATTATGATACGTATTACGTATAGATGGATTTTTCTTCCCATCAAAATCTATGTTTGCTTTGAAGATTTGAAGAAGGTTCAGAACTTTAGAAAATAGTCACTACATCTCTTATGTTGATTCTTTTTAACGTGGCCGAGTTATGGGCCAAGACAAATCGTAAAAGCCCATTTAATCTCCAGTGTTATTTCTGAATATATGTGCTCGAGTGAGTGCCTCAGTGGAAAAAACAAAACAGACTACTATACAAAATTGTCATGATTCACATGAAATAGATCAAAGAAAAGTCTTGTACCTTAATTAAGTACGACAGAAAGCCGTTAACGCGTTCTTTGCATCTTTAATCATATTCTCACATGTTGTCTTATACAACCTTTTCTTTGTATAATCAATAAAACTCCAAATTTGGGTGTGTAGACATAAAACATATTTACATATATACTATATCTGTATACGAATGGAGACATGAGAACATGGGGTTGTACCGTGCACGTGGAGAAGACATGTCTTGCTTAGTGATGATGCGACCATGGAACAAGTAAACTTTTAACTTTGAGGAATATTTGCTCCCAAGTTACCAAATTCATATCATCTCTTCCTCCCAAATTTATGTCCTGCTTTTCTTCCCTTTCTATATTTTTTCGTTAATTGTTAAGATCCAAAATTCCAAATTGTACTTGCTAAATGGTATAATGAAGAAACAACACCTTTTATTTTATATATTTCCCCATTTCCGTACTAGTCATTTGGCTAATATTCAATACAATATCTTCTCTTGAAAGAAGGAGGTTTGCATCTAGAGATAAACAGATAAAATTATAAATAGAAAGAAGAAGAAATATAAAATCTTGTGCTGCACCCCCACTCTTTCATCTACCAACGTGAACATAACATACAATCTAAGGAAAGAAACATTATAATCTGGATATAATAACAATATCCAAATTAGTGTATATATATAGATAAAATTAATGGTCAAATACATTAACATGGAGGATCTTCACGTGTTCTCTTGGTTGTCCTGGCATAAGCCACTCTGTATGCATGATCCACGAAATGTATCGTACACAAAAATGGTATGAACGTCTAAACTTCATTCATCATTTACTTTTTTGTAAAACTAACTATTTAGAAATTAATTTAAGAGGGCAAATGCTACCATTTTAGCAAGAAAGCACCTTTTCCAGATCTTTCAATGTTTTGAGTAAAAATTAGTACAACAAAGAAAGATCTTAACTCTTATATCAGAAAATTACATTAATGAAGTATAAGAAGAAATTTCTTTTTTACGTCAATCTTTTGAGTGCGAATCTGTCTCATTTCGTGTGCTGGTGGTTAATATATTTTCCAAGGATATTAGAATTGCTTGCGGCCGTAATTTCGGGGTTTCATTCATCTTATTTCTTTTGCAGAAGAAGTTTACAGTACCTAACTGAATATTTAAAATTAATATTAGCGTTTACATTAATAAATGTCTCGATAAATGTCAGAAGAACTGAATAAAGTTAACATACAATACTTCAATTTGATTTCACGGATATCTTTAGAATGGGTGTGGAGAAATTAGCAACAAAAGGTTAACAAAATTAAAACCAGCAATAAATTCATAGGTCATATCGTATTGATTTCATTGTCTTTCCTGTCTTTAGCAACATTTTTAGTTGAACAAAATGTTAATGTTTGTTTGGGCTCGGCTTTTGGATGAAAACAGACTCCAACTAATAATATTGAATGTGACATTAGGTGAGTTAGGTGGATATATGTAACTGCTTGCTACTGGTTATAGACTTATAGTTACACATTTCATCTTCTCACCTATTAACATCCAAACTCTCAACTGCATTAATTAGATAAATCGGATATTTGGATAATATTATCAATCTTGAAATACTTAAGTTACTCATAATTAACTCATAAGTAACTTCATATATGAATGAAATTCCGGTGAGTTATGTTGGTGAGATTAAATGACCAAGAACATCATGATTTCTGATAAACCTTGTTCATAATGAAGTACCTTTATTTATAGATATTATATTGTACATGTAAAATTTACCTCATTTTGGTTAAGGATAATCTGTGAAAATGGTCTATATGACTCAATAAATTAGAAATTTAGCTCATATTGACAAACGATCTGGAGAACTTTGGAGAGTAGGTTGTGTTCAATTACATACCATTAAATTTCTGTTACTTTATTAATTAGTAGTATTGTATTGTTATCTCACCTTTTAGGTAATACTATAGTAAAATTTCCAAGTTAATTATTATTAAAACAAATTGTAACAACGATGACGTTATTATAGTATTGTTAATAGATACGGTGTACAAAAAAGCGTATAGACCGCGATGCAGATAATCAAAGCTTTAGAAAATTCGTCGCGGAAAACAAAAAGTCTACGATCCCAAAATATTAAGTCATCCAATCATACTTAGCATTTGCAATATTCGTGGGACCCAATACACACGACACAAACACATTTCACAAATTATACTGTAGATATTTTAATTTTGTTATATAAACCTTCTTTTTCTGGCACAAATGTATTTTTATCCAATACACCGTATCCGAATAGTGAAGACTAAACTACTACCTCTCTTTTACATTTAGTTCACATTAACCTAATGTTTCTGTTAATGGCATGTTAGTCAATACTCAAAATTAGTGAATAAAATATTTAAATTATTACCATAAATTGTTACTTACTTACTTGTATAAAACTCATCAACCACTAAACTATTCACATCCATATTTGATTATTTAAAACCACTTGTATAAATCAATTATGTAAGAATGCAAATTTGATGATTATCCGGTTACAAAACAACATAAGAACTTAAAAGTTAAAAACTAGTACTATCACATATTCCTTCTGTTTCATTGTATTTGATGTTTAAGATTTTTTACATATATTCCTTCCGTTCCTTCAAAATGATTTTTTGGCCAATTTTTGTTGTTTTATAAAGATAAATATTTTAATTTTCTGATACATTTTTTTCATTTTTCATTAAACATTTATTATGTTTTTTGAATTTTTGTTGCTTTAAATTTATAGAAAATTGTTTAACTGTAAAACTCTATGCATCTATGATTAATATTTAATTACTCATTCTGTTTCAAATGAGTTGTCGTTTTGAGATAATGTATCTGCAAATTATTTGGATGTATCTAGATGTGTTTTGAGTTTAATATATCCATATAATTACATATACATTTTTCCAAAACGACAACTAATTTGAAATGGAAAAATATTAATAATTTTTCTTTTTAAACAAACTAATTTTTTTAATAGTAATAATCAATCGTAATTCAAGTATTTTAATTACTTTTAATTAGTTTTTCTTGACATTTGTAAAAAAATAGCATTCATTAGTAAAAAGTAACCTTATAAATCTCAAACATCAAATAATAAAAAAGAAAAACAAAATCTCAAACATCAAAATCTTATATATAATTAGGGAGTTGCTCTCTCCATTTGAGAGTGTCCACATCAGCACAAAAACATTAAATTGTATTTAAAATATTTAATAAATATATGACTATTCATATTTCTTTACATTTATTCATATTTAATAAAAATATACAAATAAATTGATTAATTAATAGAAAGTATGTGATAATTTGATGTTCAAAGTTATCAAAAAGTTGGAATATAAAATAGAGATGGAGTAAAGAAATATTCAACTTCAAATAGTATATATTTACTTTATTATTCAAAGGGTTTATCCTACTTAAAAATGTTAGAATGTGTTTACAAGTTAAAAAGTTGAATATAAATTAATTAAGACAATAGAAAGCTAATGAAACATTAGAGTTAGAGTTTGTTTTTCTAAACAAATAGAAATAGAGTTTTATATGTAAATTTAATTGTAGTGAAAAACAAGAATATGTTTACAAATTTTAACCTTCAGTCAAATGCATATACATATTTATAAATTTTAACCTTCAATCAAATACATATACATGTTTACCGTCTAATAGAAGTAAACATAATACTTATAACATGATAAAATTTTAGAAATAGAAAACTCAAGATAAAGCAGAGTGTTAATATCCTAATAAATTAAAATAAAAACAAATTATTCATATTTTTTTAGTGTTAGTGGTTTAGTTAACTCAAAACATAACAAAAACATGAAAGTTAACACAAAACCATCATATTTCAAATCCACGAGTATAAATAAAATTAAACAGAAAAACTATCGTAAACAACCCCGCGCTTGCGCGGGGCTTCAAATTTAGTATAAACAAAGGGAGTATGAACTAATTAACTCTAGAGTCTAGAGTAATGTCATTTCAATTGAAAAAAATAAAAATAAAGGAACACAGAAAAGAAAAAAGAAAGAAAAAAAATACTTTTCCGTTTCGGTCTTTTAATTTTGAAGCAGACGTTGTTAAAGTGTAATTTTTTTTTTAATGAGTTTCCGTATCTGTTTTTTGCACGAGGAACAAAACAAACAAAAAAAGGGACATTACAAAAGGAATAAGAAACAAAAAATCCCCGAAGCTTAATTTTGTTGCCTCTTGAATTTTAACGTTTGCTTCAAGTCGAACCCCTCTACCAGTCTCTTTCTCTCATCACACTCTCTCTCTCTCTCTCTCTCTCTTGGATTCTTTTCTCTGCAATCAAAGCAAAGCTCTGGAAAATTTTCTCTCCCTTTCTCTTCAACCTTTCTTCCTTTTTAGTTTCTTAAATCTCACATTGTCTTCTGTGACAATGCACCTATTCTCAACAATTCTGCACATCTCTACAGGTGAAATTCCATTTTCCTGATTTTTTTTTTCTGTAATTTTTGGATTATACTGTTGTGTAGTAGGTGTAATTTTCCTGGGGAATTTTGTCGTCGTTGAGAAAGTCTTATTTGGGTTTCGCTGCTATAGAAGACGAATAGTGGAAAAACTAAACGACGGAAAATAATTTAGGGAAAAGTGAAAAGCAATCATCAAAATACTGTTGAAGCGCCGTTTCAAATAGTTTCGCGATTCTCGAGATTCATTTCAAAATCCATCTTCCTTTCTCCTGTTCATTTTCTAATCAGGATCTGGTTTTCTACGAAATTTTCCCGAGAAAATCTCCTTACATTTGCTAAGAAAATTCGATTTCCGAAGCTGAATTTTTATAGTCAAAATTTTGACCTCTGAGCTTCTCGAAAAACCCCCATCTTCTTCGGGTATCTTTTGAAGCGACGTGTTTATTTTTATTTTTCTATGAATGAAGATACGAATTGATTTCGGTAACATGAATGTTTCTCGCAAGCTTTTGTTGATGGTCAACGTTTTAATTGAAAAAAATTAGTCGTTGTCCTCCTCCTCTTCGTCTGACATTGTTACATTAAACAATTCTTCTTCTTCATCTCTGATCAATTATTATTTGTATTTTTTTTTTTTTTTTTGGCAGAAGCGTCTACAAAGAGCTTGAAGCAATAAGGGGCTTTTGATACATTATAATAAATTGAACAATGCAAGGAGAGTCATTTGGTTTGATCGTTGGGGTCTCACTTGGCGTGGTGATTGGCGTGGTGTTAGCTGTTTCGGCATTGTTCTGCTTTAGGTACCATAGGAAGAGGTCTCAGATTGTGAGCAGTGGCTCAAGAAGAAGCGCAACGCTTCCCATCAGGGAGAATGGAGCTGACTCTTGCAATATAATGTCCGATTCCACGCTTGGTCCTGATTCTCCTGTCAAATCCTCAAGCAATGGGAGGTCTCTTTGGCTTGAAGGGTTTAGCAAGAAGAGTAATGTCATCTCTGCCTCTGGCATTTTGGAATATTCTTACAGGTTTGTCTCCTCCTGTACAAGATCATGGCTTTTAAAATGCAATTAGATGCTGGAGTAGAGGATCAAGATCATGTTTCAGAGTGTATAGTTGGATCTGATGTTGTGAATAAACAGATTATCACGATGAATCTTGACTGATATGATGATTTCTTGCATTTTTTGGTCTTGTAAACTGTGTTTCACATGTGTTATATGGTCGTTGATTTTTCAGGGATTTGCAGAAGGCAACGTGTAATTTCACGACGTTGATAGGCCAAGGAGCATTTGGACCTGTATACAAAGCTCAAATGTCCACTGGTGAGATTGTTGCTGTGAAAGTGCTTGCCACTGATTCTAAACAGGGCGAGAAAGAGTTTCAGACAGAGGTAAGTTATATCAATGAAATGTGCTTGATGAATGATGATTCACATCCAAAGAATGAATCATTTGGAAAAACAAATGAAGAATCAGTCAAAAGTAGCATTAGGAACACTTCACTATGCCCAGACTTGGGCTTTATAAATCTCTATTACTCAATCCAGAAGTTGTCATCTATAAGGCTATTGTCTTGTTCAGTTGATTGCTAAACTCGCATCTTCTTTTCTTCAGGTTATGTTGTTGGGAAGGTTGCATCACCGTAACCTAGTGAACTTGGTAGGCTATTGTGCAGAGAAAAGCCAACACATGCTTATATATGTCTACATGAGTAAAGGAAGCTTAGCTTCTCACTTGTACAGTAAGCCACTACTTTACTGAATCCTTTTAGCATAGTCACTCACTTACCTCTATATCTAAACTTGGTTTGGGATTTACCAATTTGATGATCATACAAATTTGAGGCATAATAACATGATTTCTTGAATACAGACGAAAAATATGAACCGTTGAGCTGGGATTTGAGAGTATACATTGCTTTAGACGTGGCACGCGGTCTAGAGTATCTTCATGATGGGGTAAGCTAATTGCTGAAACCATCAACAATCTTAATGCATCTCTTAAGAAAACAAAGCCAATGTTTCTATTCAAACTTTTTTTTCCAGGCTGTTCCTCCTGTAATCCACAGAGATATCAAGTCCTCCAACATTCTGTTGGATCAATCCATGAGAGCTCGGGTAATAAAAGTCATCTTCTTTTGTCCTCTTTGAGATCTCTCGTTACCTCAAAGTTTTCTCAATTGTGGTGGTCTGTTAAACTTCAGGTTGCTGATTTTGGCTTGTCTAGAGAAGAAATGGTAGACAAACATGCTGCTAACGTCAGAGGAACGTTTGGTTATCTGGATCCAGAGTATATCTCCACAAGAACATTCACCAAGAAAAGCGATGTTTATGGGTTTGGGGTTTTGCTTTTCGAGCTTATAGCTGGAAGAAATCCTCAACAAGGTCTAATGGAATATGTTGAGCTGGTAAATTACTAACAAATCTCAACTGTTTAATATGAGAAGTTTCATAAAGACTTAAACTTTATTTGATTGATGATACAGGCAGCGATGAATGCAGAGGAAAAAGTTGGGTGGGAAGAGATAGTGGATTCGAGATTAGATGGGAGATTTGATCTACAAGAAGTGAATGAAGTCGCGGCGTTGGCTTACAAATGTATCTCTCGAGCACCGAGGAAACGTCCCAACATGAGGGATATTGTGCAGGTGTTGACACGTGTCGTTAAAGTGAGACATATCAGAAAACGTCAGAAGAATTCTCCGTCGCCTTCTCCGCCACCACTTCCGGCTGTGGAGTTAAGTGGTGAGCAAACCGGGAACAGATCTTTTCGGTCGGAGCATCATAGAAGAGATAATTCCATGGACAGTACACTTGAAGAATGATGTTTACAACAACAACAAAAGTGTTAAGTTTATAATTAAAATACTTTTTACAAAATCGATTTACTTGGGGTGGGTTTTAGGATGATTTGTAGAGTTTGTTAGGACGAATACACTAATGATAATGGTAACTAAATTTGTTTTATAGGATGTTTTGTTTATAACTTTTTATCTTTCTTTTTGTGAATGAAAAAGAGAAAAGAAGTTTCTTTTTTTTTATTTGTTGTAAAATGAGTTCAACGTTTAAGAAAGGAGAACAATGCAATTTTGAGGAACACAACTACTTGAAATGGCTAGAGTGGATAAAGTTTTTTTTTATTCCACTTTGTATATATAGACTGTACATTCATGTCGTTGATGTATGTGCTGATTTAAGAAACACTTGTTAATTTCGATTTAAACGATAATATATAGTCGAAAATGCTTTCTCATTTACCTTTGCTTTATTCACATTTGCTTTATATGTTGAAACCTTCCTTTTGAATTATAATCCAGTACTCTATTTTATACATCACAAGTTCTTTTCAAATTTTATTTTTTCTATAAGTTGTTTGTCTCACAACCATTAAATAAAATTAATGATATGTCAAAAATATACAATTAGTTCTGCAAATTCTATTGTAAACCACACTGTTAAATTGCCAAGAACCACTGTTAGAATTTCCATGGTTAAGGCGATATGTTAAAGTATTGTTGATAAAAATTTGGAAATATTTGGAAATAAGATCCGAGATCCAATTTTCAATTTAAACTATTTAAAAAAAAAACGAAAGTGGAGAAGAGAGAGAGAGATTTCAGCCCAATGGGCCTTTATTGCCGAAGTGAGAGACCGATGAAGAACCGGTTGAGACGGAAGTGAGCGACTCCGTGTGGCACCGGCGCTTCTTCGTCGGCGGCGGCTGAGAGCTCCGAGAAGTATACTTCGGCCGCTTTTCACCTCTCCTCTTCACTCTTTCTACCTCTTCGATTTACACGATAATATATAGTCGAAAATGCACATGATCTCTCTCATTTACCTTTGCTTTATTCACATTTGCTTTATATGTTGAAACCTTCCTTCTGAATTATAATCCAATACTCTATTTTATACATCACAAGTTCTTTTCAAATTTTATTTTTTATAAGTTGTTTGTCTCACAACCGTTAAATAAAATTAATGATATGTCAAAAATATACAGTTAGTTCTGCAAATCCTATTGTAACCAGACTGTTAAATTGACAAGGACCACTATTAGGATTTCCATGGTTAAGACGATATGCGGGACCCAATTTGGAAATATTTGGAAATAATCCGGAACCCAATTTTCACCGTGGATGTTGTAAGTACTTTGAAGTATTGTGGTATTAATGTGTACACGGTTTGTACAGAAAATACATACGTAGTAATGCCTAATGGTCTTTATGGAAAGCAAATGACTAAACCAAGCACACCAAGATCTAGAGATAGGAGTTCTCAGGTTAGTTTGAGAACATGATTTCCAGTTTTGTTTTTGAATATATGTTTGGATATCTTGTTGTTTGATACTGCTTCTGGTTTTCATGTTGCTTTTTTTTTTGGTAGACTATGTTAGAAGAAATATCTAATGATGGTGGTAATCAAAATGTTTATAATTTTATATCTTTTATTTTTTTTTCCCCACACAAACATCGATACATACTTTGTTTTTTTAAAGTCCAGAAAAAAACATAAGAAAGACCCAATAATAAAAACAAGTTTGCATTTATCTTCCTACTAAGGAAATACAATGGAGCCGTCAGGATGGAGGAATGTCTTCTTTGGCATTGGCAAGACATTGAATAATAAAAACAAGCCGTCGGGATGGAGTAATGTCTTCTTTAGTGAGTGTGATTAGCTTATACAAAATTCATAAGTTTCTTTGGCGGATAGCAATACAGTTGTGTTGGCGCCACATATGCTCTCATCGCCATTTTACATTTACATTTTTGGACTCGAGAGCTGCAGTGTCACTCAGGTTCAAATACAAGGTTTTGGAGAGGTCACACATAAGAAAGTTGACATACATCTAGACTACGTTAAGAACTGGAAAAGACTGTAAGTCCTTAAATCTTGTGCTAAACTTTGTCTTACTTTAGTAGGGTTACTCTTTGTGCTAATTTTTTTTTGAAGGCTGACTATGGCAACTAATACATTTTATCCAAAGGAGGCTATTTGAAGAGGAGGAGCAAGGTAACTTTTCTTTTAGTTTCCCTAGAGAATAGATTTACTTTTTCTCAAGGTCAAAATCCCTTTAAAGCCTCTATCGGCTGCTTTGTTCTATACAAAGATCTAAAGCAGCATTCACGACACCTAATTCGAACAATTAAACTAGAGCACAACTTTTAAGAAGGAAGATGTCCGTGATCAGTCCACATGGAGATAAAAAGTCGATATATTTAGAAATGGCTATCGATAAACTGTTTTTTTTCTTGTAAGTGGAAAACCCAAGATAATAGTGTTTCTTTTTTTTTTTTTTTTTGACGACAGCCTAAGTTCCTAGATCGGTTCTGGGAGCGGGATCGGAGGAACTGAGTTTACATAGTATACATCATGAGGCTGAGCTCGAGCACTCCGTGAGATAATAGTGTTTCATTAGAACTTAAAAGTTTTTAAAAGTTTCAATATGTTTTTTCCTAGTTTTGGGAGAGCTAAAAACCTAAAGTTGGTGAATAATTAGAAAAAAAGAGCTTTACTATTTTTAATTTGTTTCAAAAGAACATTTTCTTTCTCAAAATTTGAATAATAATTAAAAAAATAATTTTTTTTACAGCAATTAAAAAATAAGTTAAAAAAGAAAATTAATCAAAACTCTTCTAAAAACTGAAGACAATTTAGCCAACTGCCCAACAAAGTCTATACACGCTACTATGGCACTGGAATTTACCAGGCTGATTTCAAGACGACATTGCAAACTTTACACACAGGCTGGCCCGATTCATTCCCTCCCATACATGAATCAAAATGATGGACGAGCTCGATTCACTTTCATTTAGACTCTATTTGCTCTGGATTTGGGGGTAAAATCGGAATCATGATTTCTATGTGAAGAAAAAACTTTGACGGGAAACTGAGTAGAGAGAAAACAGTTTCTGGGCAAGACCGTCGATTTTCCTATGAGCTTCGCAATCTACAACAGAAATCTTTATTAGTTTTTCCTCTTGATTTGTGTTTCAGCTCGAAAATTTGTAACTTTAGGTTCCTACTTTTTCGTTTTTTTCTGCAGAATACAAAGAGACCACACAAAAAAAAAGTTGCGTGACTGATAGAGAGAGATGATGAGCTGTCTGATAGAAATTAATCAATTATATTTATTTATGGACATAAACTGTAGTATCTATGTATTTAATTATTTAAGCAGGGTGAATGTGAATCAAACATTTATTATATCAAATTTGATATCAAAAGTTCAAAATAAAATATAGAGAACTTTGGCCTATTACATTTAATCAGCTAGTTCTTTTTACTTATATCTTATTATAATTTTACGAATGTTAATCAAGTTTTAACCTATATAAACCGATTCTTAATTATATTATTTTTATTACTTTCCAGTTGTTTTTTGGGTTATTTTTTCAGAATTGAAAATATTTTTTTATTTAATTATATAATGTCTACATATGGTTTTAACCTAGTCACAAAGTAGTTTCAATTAAGTCACAATCTATGATTAAATCTAAAGGTCATTAAAACAGTCATTAACTGTGACGAGATACCAACCAATTTTTTGTAACCATGTGTGACGTAAATTTTATACCAAAATCGTATTAATCTAGTTATCCAATTTCATCACAAAACCGTAACAATATTTGTAACTATATATTTCATAACAAATTCGTCACAATTAGTTACAAATACTAGTTATGTTTGTTTTGGTCACAATATTATAACGAAATTGTTACATTTTTATGACCGAATAACTTCGTCACATTTTCGTATGTAAATCGTCACAATATTATGACAAAATAATTTGTCACAAATTTTCAGTCACAATATTCCTTTTTTTCTTGTAGTGATAGGAGAAACCCAGCAAAGCCCACTAGTTACGTATATAAAACGATGTCGTTTCTCTTCTCGTCTCTTATGCGAGCGATAATCGTTATCCACGGACTTTATCGTCATCAGTAGTCAGTCAGTAGAACGGATAGGACGAAGAAGAATCAAACTTCGCAGTGGAAGTTGGAGAGCAAGAAACAAAATGGCGACCATGTCTGCTCTTCAGAGCTCTTTTACTTCTCTTTCCCTCTCCTCCAACTCCTCCTTCCTCGGCCAGCGTCTCCTCTCCCCGATTTCCCTCTCCGCCGCTTCTCCGGTAAACTCCGATTTCTCAAATTCTGTTCACAATAGATTCTGTAATTTCACTTGGGTCCGTTGTTCCTCCTTTCGCTGCTGGTCGTCTCTAATTTTCATTTTCACGTTTCAATTGAATCTGTAGCTGTAAGGATTTAGAGATTTCATTTGTTCAATTTTAGATATGGAGGAGAAACTTCCATTATCTAGTTCAACAAATCTCTCTCAAGCAAGTGAAATTTGATAAATTTCTGAGTTTCTGCAATATGGGTTTTGTTTACTGTGAGATATTGAAGTATATATATGCAATGTCAATGTTTTTGACTGTTACTACTAAACTCTGTCATGAAGTAACATCTGCGCAAGCTCACATTTTTACAGAGGAAATTATGGTTTTTTGCAACTTTTGCTTGATGTTTTCATGTTGAATGCAAAAATGGTTCCTTACTTAGCTTCTTTTTGTTACTCAAATGGCAGGTCAAGCCTGCAGAGAACCCATGTCTTGTTCAAGCAAAGGTTAGTCGTTACTTCTCCTTCTGCATTATTTCTTAACTTTGAACCACAAGAAAACTTATTTTTTTGGATGATTGTGTTGTTGTTGTTGATGTCAATGTTGTGTGATATGTGTGTTTAACCATTATCAGCTGAAGCGTTGGGAGCGAAAAGAATGCAAACCAAACAGTCTTCCAGTGCTGCACAAGATGCATGTCAAGTTTGGAGATACAGTCAAAGTGATATCTGGACGAGACAAGGGCAAGATTGGAGAAGTCACCAAGATCTTCACCCACAACAGTACCATAGTGATCAAAGACGTGAACCTCAAGACTAAACACATGAAGAGCCGAGAAGAAGGAGAGCCTGGCCAAATTGTTAAGGTCTGTCCATATTTTGTAGCTTGTACACTTTTTTTCTTCTTTGGCTAAACTCTAGTGCTGTTTGATAGTATTATGTTTTTTGCAGATCGAAGCACCGATCCACAGCTCAAACGTGATGCTGTATTCAAAAGACAAGGATGTGATAAGCCGGGTGGGTCATAAGGTCCTTGAGGATGGACAGAAGGTGAGATACCTGATCAAAACAGGGGAGATCATCGATACCGTTGAGAAATGGAAGCAACTTAAGGAGGCCAAAGATAAAGAAACAACCCAAGTTGCAGTAACCTCCTCATCTTAGAACCTCATTTCTTTCTTCTTCATTGCACTTTTTGATTTATAAACTCTTAGAAACCTATCTATATATGTATGTGCTGGATGTATTGAATCCCCTTTTAAGGTCAAATATAAAAAATGGGTTTCTACCAAGCAAACACTTGTTATTCTTCCTTAAGTAAAGCTTACATTGAACCTTAAACAGGAAAGTTATTCAAAAACATACAAGTTTTATAGGAAACAACAAAACTACAAACGCTTGGAAAGTGGTTAAACACTTAAACCATAGTCTCGTTTCTTTCAGAAATCAGCTCGGTCTTGGTTTTCGGTACTTTCTCCTGTCTGCTACGCTTCCACCTCACGTAGAACACGATTAGATATATGAGTAATCCCATTGCAACAGGGGTATATATGAAGTAGAATAGCAAGGGTTGATACTTCATGTAGATCGAAGTCCAATAAGAACATACGAGAGGCCCCGCTATGAAGATATACCACCAAGTGTTTCCTTTACCAGCTGGCAAGAGTATAAACGTCAAGACAATAGAAAAGAGAAATGCAGCAGTGTTGAACACTTCTAATATGGCTCCTTTAATATCGGACACTTCACGTATGTCTTGTGCCGCTGACTGATAAGTAGCTGTGATGACCAGAGCTGTTATCACTAGAAGAACGTCTCGTGTTCCGTCTGACGTTTGGCTCCTGTATCGTGCGATGCCCGTTGAGCAATATTCCCTGAATGTGACCGGTTTTCTCAAGAAGACAGACATCTTCTCGACTTCGGATAGAGATTCACCAGTCTTACCTCCTGATATTTCTATGAGTTTCTCAGTAGCTTTGTTCACGTGAGAGCCATTGTCTTGTAAGACATCTAGGGCTGTCATACCAGCTTTGTTCTTGATGTTTCGGTTCAAAGACATGCATTTCAACAGCTGTTTCACTCCCTGTGTATATATATAAATGTTTGTTAGACAAGATCTATCTATCATACAGTTCACAGAAGAAGAGAAAAAGAAAAAGAACATATATACCTTGTGATCATTCTCGTGCGCCGCTAGGTGCAAGGCCGTGTTGCCATTACGGTCGCCTCTGTTAAGGACGTGTTTCTCAGTGGAGCCATCATCTTTCTCGCGCCTTCTTTGCATCCACCATGTGAGGACTTGGAGCTCTTCATATTTTTTGTTCATGACTGCGATGTGTAAAGCAGTTTCTCCATTTGCATTCGCATCTCTGATGCTCTCAGGACATGCTCTGAGAAGCTCTGTGAGAAGATCCGCGTCACCTTTCTTTGCCACAATATGCAATGCTGTCATACCTGTCGTTATGAGCAAAGGAAAAAAGAATTCAAATCTATCATCCAAGTACGTAACTGTATATTATATATTTATTTAAACATATTCGGAGAACAATTAATAATTAATGTATTGAGGTAATTACGTACCTCCTCTTCCACGAATACGAACAAGACTAGGATCAAACTTGACTAGCTCTACTGCTAACTCAGCTTGCTGCTTCTCGACAGCGAGATGCAATGGACTAAACCCATCATCGTTTAGTTTCTTGGCAAAAGATGGTTTTAGAATCATTAGTTCCATTGCCAAATCTATCTTCCCGGTAGATGAAGCTTCATGGAGTGGTGTGTGGATGAAAGGTAAATCATCGATTTTCTGAAGAATGCATGGATCCTCTTTAATAAGAGAATACAACGCATCAACGCTGCCCGATTGAGTAACCAAAAGCAATTTTGATTCCATACTTAGAAAGAAAGAGAGATATTTGTAATGTCCAGTTTATGAAGAAAAAGAGTCCAAGCACTCTCGTTTATATTGTCTCAATTTCTAAAAGCAAAAAAAAAGGGCAACTTCTCACCTAAGGTAGAATGAGTGAAATAGAAGAAGTAAAATAATTGACTTAGGACTGTTCAAATTATTTTAAGCTTGAAGAAAGCTCTTTGTAGGGACCAATCTAAGAAGAAACGATCCCAACATTTTCGTTACATAACTTTTTTATTTAAATATGCCTGTTCGGAGAAGAGCCGCTAGCAGCTGCCTCAGATGGCAAGCAACAAGGAAAAACGACGATAGCAGAGACAGAGATGTCCCAGGACCAGGAGGAGGAATGTGTCGCTGAAAATTTCAAGCGACGGTTATGTGCCTTGCGACAACTCCTTGCAACTGTTACCGTGTTACGTTACGTCTGTTGGAATATAATTGAGTTTAGTCTTAATGTTTCTAAGTTATTATAATGTTTGTATTAAACGATGTCTTTGTAAAGTTGTGACTCTTGGTTAGGTTGTGTTTACACAAGAGAGTCGCAACTGTTAGTTGTGTTGTTGTCTTAGTATTTAAACACATTGAAACCCTGATGTAAAAACATGTTCGAGATTAAATATACTCTGTTTTCTTTTTACTCTGTTTCGTAATCTATATTTTAACAACGTCGACTCTTTTTAAAACAGCAACTTTTTTTAATAGTACGTCTCCGTTTGTGACTATTTTTTTTATCGCGCTATAGCTGGTCGCAGCGACTCCAAAAAGAACATGGAATATGAGAATATCTATAATGTGCTGAGTCTATTGTCTCTTGTAGCTGTAACGGACAAGTCTCTGTGTTTGAGTGATCTCACATTGACCACACACAATGCTTACTCGTTTAGTGCACAATGTTTAGTTTCTTTAGTTTTTATTCTACACAGATTTGCAGGTTATCAGGAGAAGTGATTTGTAACTCTTTAGGATGTATATATATGTGTGTCGAGTTATTACTATTAAATGTGTCCGAGTTTTGTGTTGGGATATTATCTGTTAAATTAGGGTTTTTTTATTTTTGCTAAGACTAAATTAGGGTTTAACTGGAATGGGGTTTTCTAGTGCATGTCAGAGTTCATTGTAAATATGTTCACTGATAATTATTTGTTTGCTTATACTATATGTGAGCGTGAGACTGATGACTCACTGACACGCAAATATAAAATTTCTTTTGACTTTATTTGTTTGTGTTTTTGTTTTTATAGTCTATCTCAATCATATAGAAAACTTTATTTTTGTTGATAAAATCATATAGAAAACTCTCTCCAGTCAATCAGTAATTCCATGGTAGGATTTCTTTTCATGACGCATAAATTGTGTATCTTGTGAGATAATTACACTTACACATGGATGTTCGTGGAGAACTCCTTGAATATCAAATGATTCTTGACCATTTTATGAACTTTTTTTTTGACGTCTTTCCTATAGTATTGTAAAGAAAGTAAATCGTGAATTCCATGCTAGGATTTATTTCTTCACGGCTTAACGCCTAAATTGTGGATTTTGTGAGATTAATACACATGGATGATCAACTTAACATAACACATGCACGTATTTAACACTTGGCGTTCAAGAACATTTGCTGATTGATTTTCATTTCTGATTTTCTTGAACTTCTTGTTTCTGTTAAGTTTTGGTTTTGATTTTGTAGCATAGGTTCATGTTATGCCTCTTATGTTTAAGACTTGTTTCTGCTTATTTTTTGTTTTAATTTACGTTATTTTTTTTTTTTGATTTTGTAGCTTATGTTTATATGATTAAGACTCCTTTCCGGTTTTTCTTCTCACTTTCGTTTTTTTTTTTTAGTTTGTAGCATAGTTCTTGATATTTCTATCTCTTGTAGCTCACTTCCGCACTTGTTTATATCTTGTCTTGATAGTTATATCTCTTGTCTGTTTTGATAGTTCTCTCTTGTCTTATAACTTACTTGTCTTGGTTTGCTTTTGCAGGAGATTCCTCTCCGCAAAGGTCGTCGTTCAGGGCTGGGTAAGATTGTTGAAACGGATCCCGCAACAGCATTCTTTGCTGACTACAATGAAGACCTCCTTCAGCAGAACGAAGAGCTTAAAGCCAAAGTTGATGCTTTGGAAGCTTCCAAAGCAGAAACAGAAGAGAGGCTGTGTAGTACACAAGGAGCTCACCTCTACACAGACTTGAGTCTCTAAAATGGAGGCGTTTATGAAAAGCAAGTGGCCGGATATGCCATAGTTCTAATTCTAATGCATGTAATCTGAATGCTTTGAAATACACTAATGTTTTGGTTTTTGGATAAGACTTACTATTCTAGTTTCGTATTTAGATGCTTGAAATTGTGATGTTGGATTACTTAAACAATCTACTATCATGTAATATATTGGTTTTTAACTCTTGGTTTCTATTTTGGCGGCAATTTTTTTTTTTAAAAGTTTACAAATTTTCATCGGCAAACCATCTTGATTTCGTTGCAAAACAATCCCTTGATAATCCGTTGGTAAATATTCCATTGCAAACCCGTCGGTAAACAATCTCTCTGAAATCCGTTGCAAAAGATGAGCTCTGGCAAGTCCAACGCTAATTAAACGATTGGTAATCTCTTGGGAATCAACCAACGAAAACACTTGGAATCCACTTGTTGGGATTCCGTCGCTTATGTGGACCTGACGGTTTAACAACGAAAAACCAATGCTATAAATATCCTTGGAAAGCCGTTGGAAAACGGGTCTCTCGCAAATCCGTCGGAAAACGGATCTCTCGCAAATCCGTCGCAAATCCGTCGGCCATTTCCAACGGATTTACGAGGACGATAAATTAGCCACCTGATAGTCCCGATGACTTTTTTTGTCGCTAATCCGTTTGTGTTGGCTGTTTCCAACGGCAAAACGACGGTTCTGGCCGTTGGAAAAGCCCTTGTTTTCTTGTAGTGATAGGATTGGTTAAAAAACAATATTACGAAATTTTTATGAACGATATCAATTTTTCTTCATATTCTTCTATAAAATGTTTTACTACAATGTATCGTATGCATAAGTTAGTGAATTTTAATGATTATGCATTATTAAATTTATTACACTTTATAATTAGATTCTGAAAATGTATAACGAAAAATGTTTGTTTCACAATAATGGTTCTTGCAAAATTTATATGCTTATTAAACAATTGAAAAATACTCCCTAATATGTATTGTCTCCCTAATATGCTTATCAAACAATTGCAAAATGCTATATAAACCACGTACTCCCTATGTTTCATATTATAAGGGATTTTAGGGTTGGACACAAGAATTAAAAATTCATTTAATTTTTTAATTATTCATTTAATTCCAAAACAATTCAACCAATGAAAAAACAATATGCACAATTAATAAAGTAAAAAGCAACCAAAAAGTTAAATACTTTATATTATGAAACAAAAAAAAAAGTCTTAAACCCCTATATTTTGAAACAGAGGGAGTATATATTTTATAATTGTCTGTAATTGAATTAATTTTAAAACTTCATTAATTGGAACAAAATGTATTGTCCGAAACAAAATATTACCCAACCAATGTGGGAACAAACAAGCAAGTGTGTCAGCTCAACTTTGATTTCCTACCATTACTTTTGTTTTTTGTTTGTAAAATTACCAAACGTTTGCAAGAACTATACAATATCTTTTGAGTTTTGTTTTTGTTTTTGTTTTCATAGTCTATCTCTATCATATAGAAAACTGTTTTCTTTGTTTCTAAAATCATATAGAAATTATCTAGTAAATCCTTAATTCAATTCCCACTACAAAAGAAAAAGAGCATTAATAGCACATTTAGGATAGCACGGTTTTAACAACTGCTATTAAATGCAAATTTGTGATTTTGATTAGTGTATAATAGCATTACATTAATGATATGATAAAAAATCAGTAAGTGGAAAGCAAAAATCACTTATTCCGCCAATCCTTAACCAAAAATATCACTTAAGCGCCACACTTAAACATGGTAAGATTTCTTTTTGTGACGCCTAAATTGTGTATCTTGTGAGATTGTTACAAATAGATTCGTGGAGGAATCCTTCTTGGATAGCAAACGATTCTTTCACGAGTAGTATGTCGAGCGTATGGAGGAGTCTTGACAATTTTTTGACCTTTTTTTGTAATTTTTATACTTTTAATGTGTTTCCTATAACTTTTTATAAAAGTCAATCATGAATTCCATGTTAGGGTTTCTTTTCTTAATTGTGGATCTTGTGAGACTGGTACATATGGATGACCAACTAATGATCATAACACATGCACGCAGCACGTATTGCGTATAATTTTTCTTCATATTCCCCTCTAAAATATTTTGCTATAATGTATTGTATGCATAAGTTAGTGAATTTTTATGATTATGCTTTTTCTGAATTATTAAACTAATTACGTACATTTTATAATTAAATTCTGAAATGTAACGAAAAAACATTTATTTCACAATAATTGCTCTTGCAAAATACTCCCTAATATGTATTTTTTTGTAAACGATTAAAAGTTCATTGTCTGTATGCACATACAGATATATGTTTTCTTATTGTATGTAATTGAATTAATTTTAAACTTCATTATCTTATTATATAAAGTTGGATGCGCGCGATATGGTTGCGACGCGTAGGATTTTTAGATTTTTATAATTTATAAGATCGCGATATGTGTCACTTTTAATGTTATGTCCGTTAAGATCGTGACACGTGTCTTGGAAAAAAAGAAAAAAGTAATAATTAAAAAAAATTAGATAAAGGAAATTGTTTAAAAAAAAAAACTTTTATAGTTAAAAGAAAAAAAAAATATTTGTCAGATCCTAATAGAAAAAAGTTTCCCATTCATCAAATTTATATTATCCAAAAACATATAAAATTCATATTAATGAAATAAATTAAATCATATTAGTACATAAGAAATTCAGTTTACATAAAAAATTTAGTTTACAGGGAAAAGGTTATGTAAACTAAATTTCTTATAATTGCATGGAATAGGTTACTTGAACCCCTATAAAAAGAGAGTTAAGGTTGTCTTTTTTTCTCATTAACAAACTCATCAAATCTTTTTGATTTTCTTTCTCTAATTTAAAAATCTTGTCTCTGAAAGTTTACTACATGATCGCTAAGATTTTTATAACTCACAAAATTGAGATATGTGTTTATATTCCCATTACGACAAGGAAAAAGACCAATATATAATAAGCTATAGCGATTCAACTGTGTGTTTCTATCTTTTGTATAATCTTTTCTCTCATTAGAAAAAATAAAAATCATGTATTTAAAATTCATGGTATCAATGAATAATATTTAACCTATATCAGTTGGATATAAATCAAAATTAGCAAAATCAGTGAAGACATGTTAATTGAAAAATGTTAAACATATATAAAAACTAGCGAAATAATTATAAAAAAATAACTAATAATGAAAATGAAAATGAAAATTTATAATGGTCTGAGGCAAAAAAAAAGATTGAGAAAAAAACAATATAAATAGAAAAACTAACAAAATAATTATCAAGCAACAAATTAATATTAAGAAAATATAATGAACCGATATTCTAATTTTCAATAGTTTAATTTTCAATATTGTTAGGTAAAATATTATTAAATAAAGATTTCATCAATTGAAATCTCTTGAATGAAATAATAATATTTTATTGAATTAATCAGTTGATCAGATTTAGACATATATAAGCTTTTCTATATTGGATAAAAAAAAATTAATTCATTTTTCATATCATGAATTCAAAAAAGAATATCAATTATAATAAAAACGTAAAAAGATTATCGATCTTATTTTATTTAGATATTTCTTATCGGGTTTTAAATATTATTTTGCTTACAATAAAAGTGATCAAATTTTTGTTAAATACTTTTCTCTGATTTTATTAGAAAATCTTAAAATAAACCCGCGTATACGCGGGTCTTAATCTAGTTATAATATGTAATTGCATGTTGTAACTTGTATATACGCTATGTTACTGGTCGCCACATATGTGAACATATATTCCCTTTTTTGGTTAAATATTTCCCTTTAGAATAAGCAAAATACTTTTTAATGCTATAATTTTCATATTGATTTGTTGATAAAAAGAAAATAAGAAATGCATTGGAACAAAGTATTGTCTGAAACAAAATATTACTCAATCAATGTGGGCTCTAACAAACAAGTGTGTCAGCTCAACTTTGATTTCCTACCATTACTTTTTTGGTTGGTTTGTAAAATTACCTGCGTTGATGTCGCATACCAAATGCAAGTCTCTATGTTTGAGTGATCATCTCACATTGACTTGTTGATAAAAAGAAAATAAGAAATGCATTGGATAAATGCATTGGAACAAAGTATTGTCTGAAACAAAATATTACTCAATCAATGTGGGCTCTAACAAACAAGTGTGTCAGCTCAACTTTGATTTCCTACCATTACTTTTTTTGTTGGTTTGTAAAATTACCTGCGTTGATGTCGCATACCAAATGCAAGTCTCTGTGTTTGAGTGATCATCTCACATTGACCACAATCAATGCTTACTAGTTTAGTGCACAATGTTTATTTTCTTTAGTTTTTTATTTTACATCCATTATTGCAGGTTATCTGGAGAAGTGATTTTTAACTCTTTACGATATATGTATATGTGTCGAGTTATTATTATTATTATTATTTATGTCAGAGTTTTGTGTTGGGATATTAAATTTAGGGCTTAACTCGAATGGGGTTTTGTAGTGTGAGAGTTCATTGTAATTATTTGTTTGCTTACTATATGTGAGCGTGAGACTGACTCACTAACATGCAAATATGTTCACTGATATTCTCAGGGAACTATGAAATTTCTTTTGACTTTAATTGTTTTTGTCTTTATAGTCTATCTCTGTCATATATATAACTTTGTTTTGTTGATAAATCATATAGCAATCTCTTTCTAGTTAATCCTTAATTCTATGGTAAGATTTATTTTCGTGACGCCAAAATTCTGTATTTTCTTGTGAGGAATCCTTTTTCGATAGCAACTGATTCTTTCAGTCTTTCTAGAGTAGTATAATGTGTCGAGCGAATGAAGGAGTCTTCACCATATTTTATTATTTTTGTTGTCAAATTGTTAGAGGAGAAATTAGCACATTTCCCTGAGCCCGTCGTCATTAGTAAAATCGCAAAGCCCAATTCGACTTTAAACCTAATCTTCTCAACAAAAAGGCAAGACTTGA